AGGCGATATTATGCCCTCTTTGAAGAATTTTTTATGTTGAGTTTGGCGCTTGGTAAAACGCAATACTGCCATCGAGTAGTCCTGGTTTAATAATCTGTTTATTGTTGTTTCATTAAAATGAAATAAACAATATTTTCTTAATAATACCTATAAGATATTGATAACCTTGGTCTATGTTACCATTTCGATTTAAGCACAATCTGTTACTCAGTGTACTAGCGTTAGTTTTTTTTTTGTAAATATATTCTTGAGTGTTCTGCGATTGCATAAAGCCATCGAGTATGTAAGGGTTTTTGGCGATACTATCACTATGTTTTTAATCAATCCTTTAGTCTGGTATGCGCTAGTCTGTATTTAAAAATATTTTTCTAAAGTCGGATCATCTTAGTTTTTGTGATTTCATAACAAAATGATATAAAAATATTTGAAATAGATTTTTTAGCAAAGTACCAGTAATTCAGTTACCAAATATGCATTTTTAAACTGAATAACCAAATTAATTGAACAAAAAAACCTAATGTGTTTATTTAAAGTTCGCTATCTGCAATTAATTTCCAGGAATTTTTCATAAACAAAATTAATTTTTTAAAATGTACGATTTATATATATATAAATTTTTTTTCTTGCATTTATCAAACTAATTTATTAATATGAATATTGCTTTTTATAAGCAATCATTTTAAGCAGATTTCATATTGTTTGCATATTCAAAATGAAAGATGTCAGATTCAGAATGTACGCCATATTTAAGTATTCAAAAGCTGTCTCAGTAATAATTTGCTTAATTGAATTCGTCGTCTCAAAAATGAGCTTCAAAATTCAATGAACTTCGTGAATGGTGAATCAATATAGAATAAAAAAACATTTAAATTTTTTTCAAAATTTGTAACCAACAAAAAAAAACCAAAAAAATCATATCAAAAATTACTCATAAAAAATTATTATAAATTGATATGTTTCACTTACATTAATTGATTTTCAATTAAACACTCATACAGGCAGATACAAAGATACAAAGATACAAGTACAAATCGCATTTCCTAAGGTACTGAAAACTTGCTTAACACAGAAATGTGTCAAAAGTTGTTCTGTTCTGTTCTGTTTTTTTTCTGTATTGGTTTGGTTGTAGTTGTGGTGGCATATGGAATCATTTTTTAACAGCTGCCATTAGCTTAGCCATTAAATCCGTACTCCATTATATTGCGGTACATTAAAAATTAAAATGCTAAAATTCTGAAAATATCATATCAGCGCCTTACAAGTCAAGAATAAAAAAGAGCTGAAAAGACATTTTAAAAAATAAAAATCAAAAAAATCGATTGAAATAATTTTGTTATGAATCAAATTGAGAAAAAAATCTTAATTTAAAAGAATGCACGCATTACAATTCACAAGCACACAGATACTTACGCATACGCACACAAATACACTATTAAAATATTGTAAGACCACTTATGGCACTCAATTATTTCAAGACCATACCATCCAATAATAGTTTTTTAAATTAAAAATCTTTATTCTTCATTCCATTTTTTGCAACATTTCTTTTTCATTAAATAAATCACACAGGAGCGGTTTTCCTATCAACAGGTATCTTGCTACAAAAAACGCCTGTGAATTTAACTTAAAACATCGAAAATTGCATATTTAATTTTTTCTAAAAAAAAGTTCACACTTTAATATGACCAATTCCTCCATATATATTCCGATATACAAACTGTTTAGGCGCAAGAATGAATCATCGCTAGTGCGGTGATAAATGCGTAATAGACTATTCGAAAAGACGCTCCCTTCTCATTTCGTGTTCTTACTGGAGCGCTCATGAGGCACTGTGTTAATGCTTTAAAATTGATGGTCACATCATACAATCATACTATGCAAAAGCTGTAATGATGAAGAAATGATAAAACTTATCAGTCACTTTGTTTGTCTTTTAAAGACGAAAGAGACTAGAGACGAACCTATTTTATTGTCTATAAGATGGTTTTCCCATAGACCTGGCAGAGTTACTGAAAATAGACTAACCTGTGTTTTATCTGGAAGATTACATGACTTTATATCAAAGTGTTAGAGTACATGGATCTATAATATAAAAAGCAATTAGCATAGTTCCACTCTCCCTAGAAAGTTGAGGACATTACAATAGACAATCCATATCAAACAGTGGAAGAATTGATACATATATAAACAAGCTCCTTTCTAAAGCACAAATGGCCATATTGTTTCTTTCTTAGCAAATACTTTTGCCCATTTTTGATGCTGTTAGGAAGCACTTTTGCTCGTTTTTTATATTGTTTTGTAATATTATTTTCTGTTATAAATATTTATGTATATATACGAAGGTGAGCTTGCGTGGGTGAAATGAGGACTTTTATTTTTAAAATTAAATAAATACAGTTTAGTTAATATACACTATGACTTAATAAATTAACTTTAGTTAATAATTTTAAATCTTTTCTTTCTAAATAAATTTTAGTTTCTTTCCAAACTAACTTATACTGTAATCTCCCGTATATCACGGTAGATTGGTTCCGCATTATAGCAAACACGTTGTAGGGGTATTTTCGTATACCCCGTATACACACGAGCAAAGGTATGCGTAGCTAATAGTGAACTGTATAAATCCCCGCGTTATATGGGGGCATGTTCGTGTTATACGGGGGATTAAAATCGCGTTATAAGAGTACCGCGTTATAGGGGGATTAGTGTAGTGTTGAAGCCTATTTATAGATTTCATTTGACCCTTAAACAAAATAGAGTTATAGTATATATTATCTTTGAGTTATTGGTACATCTTAAGGTAGTTTTTATTTATTCCATATTTAATTTGCAACTTCGTATTGCCATTTTATCTATTCCAAAACAATTAACTATTCTAATATAACTAATTACAGATGTGTTTATATATCATTCTTAATATACTTATATGTGTTAGATATAATATTCCCTGTATGTATTCCCTCACAAATGTATCTGTTAGTTTTTTCTTTTTAATTATATATCAAAAATTATTATTTCGTTTTTTTTTTGTTTTTATTTTTGTTGTTTTTTCTTCATCACAATTTAATTTTTAATATTATTTGTTCTTGGCATAAAAAAATAAATTGAGTACAGGAGTTGGAGGCGCACCAGCTTGAATCTACTGATTGTAGACCATTTGGGGTGGGGTGGAGTAATACGTAGGTAGTTTAATATTCTAAAAAATGCTATATTAAATATGGCGATGATGACTGTTTTATTTTAAAACAATTTATCTATATGGCACGAATTGCTTGCTTATGTCTTAAGTTTTATTATTCTTTTATTATATTTGATGTTGTTGTTGTTGTTGTTGTTAGTGTTGTTGTTATTGTTATTGTGGCTGAAATAAGTGATTTAAATTCTTTTCAAGTTCCATTATTGGCGTCGTTGATGGAGAATTATATTGAGTTTAGTGGCAATTAACGCACATGGAAATGAAAATAAAATATATTCATAACATAGATATTTTTACTTGGAATAATTAATCTTTAATTTTTTAATGGTTACACATTTGTTTATATATAATTATTAATTTATACATTTAAGAAAAAAAAAATTACTTAAAAGAATTCCCATTGCCATTATTGTTTAAAAAAAAAAATTTTACTAAAAAACTTATGTACAAAATATTTTTGATTCTTTAAAGAAAATTGTGAAATATTAGTATTTCAAATATTTAGAACAATTTGAATTTTTAAATAATTAACGTTCACAAATAAATTCAAAAAATTGTTTGGAATGTAATAATAGTAACTATGATCATTTATACATACAAAGTTATTAATTTTGTGATAGATATTTCCATTAGATTCCATGTCATTAGATGTGAAATACAATTTTATTCAAATATCCTGTACTGGACTTCCTACAGTACTGGTTCCTTTTAAAGTAATTTTCGATAATTTAGCAGCAAAAAGTAATAGCACGGTTACCAAAACTATGAAGTTATATATCCAGGAAACTTTTCGCACTGCACAGTCATTTTACGCTTACATCACCGTCCTGTTTAAACTGCCAATCTTCCACACTCATATCTACAATTTCACGCGAAAAAAGTGTAATTGTAATTATTAGAATTAACGCCTTGTGTCACATTTTTCCAAAAAAATACGGGCCTATATAGAATTCTCTTCTAATAGTTACTGTCCTTATCTAACTTCACGATCGTGATCAATGATGGCTTGGAATTTTAGAAACTGACAATGTTTCACTAGTAGTGACACGTGTTATTAAGACTTAAATGATGAGTTATTATAAGTAGTAATATTCTCATGCTGTAGTTATTAGTTAAAATTTATTTTGTATTAGTAACAGCAGTAACTTCCTCAATTTGATGTATGTCCATTGGCTTACCGATCATAACCTGTACCCAGGCACAATAACTTTTAATTGCCACAGACCTATATATTTTAATATAATATAAACTTGGACTCAGATAGTTTTCTTCTGCTATAAAACTAACTGAGTCCACTGGCATCGCATTATGTCAATACATGGCAATACATGGTTTATGACGTATGTACATTGCTATACTTTCAAAACGTTGATCTTTATTTATGTCTGTCGAATGGATGTACCAAGTGCTCTCCCACAAATTTTTAATTTTTATACTATAACTATTTATATATACTATATGTAATGTTTACTATATTTTCTAGTTCGAAGCACAATAAATATTTTGCACAAAAAAATAAAGGGCTCACATACAATTTAAATCCGAAATAATTAAAAAAAAAAATACAATACAAAAAAAAATTATTATATAAAATATGTATATAGATATTTGTTACTTGATGGTATCCAAAACAGCTGTATGGTCAGCCTAGTCATTTGATAAAAAATTTCCTTATTATTATACTTCATTCCTTACTATTATATTTTCGAAAAAAGATTTCTCGTCATAGAATATAAGTCTTCTATTTATATATACTTAAGTTAAATAAAATATTTATGTTCTTGCATTTTTTATATCTTTTTAGGTTAATAAACAGTATTCGGCCAGTGATTTGGAGACGTTTATGAAAATTGCCGCAAATTGGCAAAGCACAAACCAAAATTTGCTAGAAGGCGTGGATATAAAAGGAGGTAAGATATCCTTCAAAAACTTATGTAAATCAAGCTTAAAAGCATTTAATATTAATAATTTAATATACAATGAATTAAAGTATAAATCATGATTCATAATCATAACAACTATCTTGATTTTAAAATATATATTAAAACACTAATCAGATTAAAATGTCAAAGTGATTTTAATTTTACTAACTTAATTACTTATTTTATGTATTAATATTTCGATTATTTAATAGAAATTAAATTTTTTTTTAAACTTTTCTGAAATTAATTTGCAGAAATGCAACAATATTTAAATAATCCCGCTATGAATATGTATAAAAAACGTGAACGTACACAAAACTGGAATCACTTGGAGAAAAAGTTCCTGCTGGAGTTGTGTCGTAAGGATATGCGTATCATTGAAAACAAGCGGCTGGATGCCGGACTGACGGCTGTGAAAAATAAAGCCTGGAAAATAATACATCAGAAATTTTCGAATCAGTTTGGTACGGATCGTACGTGCAACCGTCTTAAAGAACAGTGGCGTAGAATGAAAGGTTAGTTATAGTTTTAACATAAGTTTTATTTTATAAAAGTGATATAATGTTATAAAATATAAATTATATAAATTATGATATAAAATAACGCTTTTTTCTTATTTGTTTGATGAAATGCGAATTAGTGTCTAAAGCGCTTTTACTCAATGGTATCTGGATGACCAATTGCATGATCCGCTATAATAAGAACTCCATTGAATTATGATAAATTAATCTGATCATTTTCTAGAAATATACCTTGTACCCCAGTAATCTTCCTGATAGAATATACATTGCGTTTGATTTGAGAGACAGCAGTACAATACTTAAAACAACTGTACTACTTACTATTCTCTCACTACTATTCCAAAGCCTTTCTCCCTATTGTTAAAATATTTTTTTTTTGTCATAAGTTACTTAAAGAATTAAATTTAATAATGAAACATAGATGTTATTTAAGATTCAATAATAATAACAGAGAGATAATATTTTATAATGTATGATATTATATATATGTTATAAAAAATAACTCACTTTTTTATTTTTTTTGCAGCCTGTACGCGTAATGAAATACTAGATTATAATACACGACTCTCCAGATTTGGTCCAGAAATGGCTGATCGTAAAAAACCTTCCCCATTCACTTTTGAGGTTTGGGACTTTATGCAAGAAGCTAAGAAAGCGTGCAAGTCTGAAGCACTTGATGGTATTGACTATTCGAAAATGCCTTTAGCTTTGGAAGAAGACTTCGAATATAAAGAAGATGAGCACAACGCAGAAGAAGAACATGATATGGATGAGTAAGTAACTAATATTTATAAATAGATACTTTATGATAATTTTAACAAAATTATTTTCCATTTTTAAGCAGTAGTCGCACTCCGCCACAGGAATTATGCGATATTGATATTAAAGAAGAAACAAATGAGACCTTTAATGATACCTATAATGAATCACTTGTTAATGGAGACCGTCTCACATCTTCACCAAACCATAGTCGCAATGCTTTGCTGGACACCGAACGCATCAATACACATAGTCCGACAACAACAGCTGAACATAATACCAGCTACCTGCAACACAATGGTGACATGCCAAATTTCACACCAACCTTCAATATGAATAACATATCCGCCACATTAGAAGCACTAAATGCACTACGTACAGGACAATTCTCCACGGCTGCCGCAGCAGCAGCAGCTGCTGCAATGCAAAATAACATAGCGGCTGTTGTGCAACAGCAAAAACAGTTAACAACACAATCGGACGATGACCAGCCTGTTGCAAAACGTCAACGTACTTCCAGTGTAAATGGCAGCATTGCCGATGAACGAGAACAGCAGAATATCAGCTCAGTAAACGGTGCAACTAGCACAAGTGAAAGTGGCAACAACAATGAATTGCTTGAATTCATGGAAATGCAGAAGAAAGAGCATATGATGCGTATGAAAATACTTGAAATGCAATATCAGGCAGCCAAATACAGCAGTGATATTGCCGAAATCAATAAAACTCTGGCCATACAGAAACTACAAGAGTTTGCTAGTAAACGTATGCCCAATTGAGTTTGTTTTTAGACAAACCGAAACTTCTTGGAAAACCAAAGGAAGTATTATGAATCGTTTCGAAAAATGCAAGCTACAAATCATAACAGTTTTAATATTTATTAATTTATTATTGTTAATTCTTTTAATATAAGTTTGTCCCTTTCGAGCTACGCTCGCTTGTAGAATTAATTCAAGCTGTTAGCTGATATAGATGCAGACGGCATTCTTGTAACGTGTAGTTTTATGCATACATTCCTTTAGAAAATTTGTATTAATAAATTTGTACACTTAAAGCTAAGGCAGTTTAGTATAAAAACGCATTGGCCAATGCAGTATTCTTTAAAAAAAATATTTTTTACAAATAATTCGATAAAAATTTTTATATGTCAAGACACCAAAAAATGCCATGATTATTCAAATTCTACCTCAAATACAGAACAATAAATTTCAAAATACAAAAATAACGAAGATAGATATTTCAGTTTTATACCAAACAATAAAATACAATTGCAAAATAATTAAATATATATTTTGCCTGAAAGTATGCAAAATTTTTAAACTTACAAATAAAGCGAGTTGTCGCTTTTCTTGATTAAAATTGTTAACACTTTTCGATCATTGCATAAGTAAAACAAAATTATTTTAGTTACGAATTTACTTAATTTTTAAATATTACTTAAATTTTATTATATATATGTATACATAAATATATGTAATAAATTTAATATTGTTTAATGCACAATTTATCAACTACTCCAAGTTGCTAAGAAAAAATTTTTCAATTTTTTCATTTTGAATATTTTTTTTTAAATATAAATAACATTTGTACTTATATATCAATTAATCTTAATTACTTGTTGATGTTATATTGAAATTTTAATGCACTATTTTATTTCATCCATATTAAGTGTTTTTAAAAAATACACAACTTTTTCTTTTTTAATTTAAAATGGTTAACAACGAACAAATATAACTTTTATTAACAAAACAAATTTATTTTATTTAAATTTAAAACATAAGCACTTCTTTTGTAAGAAATTAATTTTTCTAAATAATATACTTAATTTTATTTTCGTTTTTTTCTTTTTTTAAGTTAAACTTATTTTGTATTTGCCATAATATAGCATTTTAAGTCTTATTTCTTAATATAAGTGAACATTTAAATGTTAAGGAGACTGTAAATGATATATAAAATTGTTACAATAAATAAAATGAATGAGAAAAATAGATTCCTAAAACAAATTGCAGAAAAATTTGTAAAACACAAGAACATTTTTTAATTATTAAATGCATAATAATTATAATTAAAATTAATAATATATTTATGTATGTACTATATCACAAATTCAAATAAGTATAAAATTAGATATATAAAATAATTAAAATATAAAAAAACAAAAAATTAGCGTTTTTTATTATTATGTTGAGGCTAGTTGAGTCAGTATACATTTGAGTACTTTTACTCTCTATTAACTGCGAAGTTACTTCATAACCCCTCTCTACGCCTTGACTGGATCATTGTTTATCACTTTAACAGACTAAACAATAATTGACCTCAGATACCTCCTCGACGTATTGATACTGCATACCTCTGCGAAGAACCTGTAAACATTCTGAGATTCGATAACGTAGTGTTGATAAGCCTGTCGCTTTTTGTAAATAATTTCAGCGTTTTTTAATTAAGTGTAAAATGGAACATCAAAGCACGAGTCATTTCTATAACCACGGACAACTTATACATAGATGTCTAACTCCATACAAAATTAGTGTTAAATTAAATCTTGAAATTTGGTTATTCAATCCCCATTCAACAACTATAAATTGTCATTCATCCGTGTACTATGAATCAAGAAATATATTCCAACTGCATTTTCTTTTCTTACTTGCTTTAACAGAATTATTTTAATTTCTGTTAATATCAGAATAACAAAATGTATAACATCAAGAAAGCAAATTATTTTTGCAAACCTTTTGCTGAATCATTTCGAAAAAATCTCAGAAAATTTAAGAGCGGCTTGAGACATCTTACATTTTTAAATATCTTCGATAACATAAATCTTGAGAAAAGATTGTTACCGATTTTGGAATAGGCGTTTGCGATCCTCTTATATAAGTTATCTTGTGCTATAGCTATACTCACCAGTGGCTATAACTATAGTAAAACTCTAGCAGAATGCAAAGATGCAAGCGTAATTAAAGGTACAAGCGAAATTGATGCTACAAGTGAAGCTCAAACCACAATTTAACCTAAACTTACAAGAAAAGCTGCATAAATAACTGAATTTAAAACTATAAACGAAGTCTAAAATAAGAAGTTGAAACTACGAGCGAATCTACAAATGAAGATGAATCTACAAACGTAGCTGAATCTACAAACAAAGCTAAAGCTACAAGCTAAGCCGAAGCAACACATGAGGCTGAACCTATAAGCAAGGCTAAGGCTATAAGCGAAGCTGAAGCTACAAGCTAAGCTGAAGCTTCAAACAAAGCTGAATAACAAACGAGGCCAAAATTATAAGCTAAGCTTAAGCGAAGCTGAATCTACAAGTGAAGCTGAAGCTACAAGCGAAGCTAAAGCTACAAGCTAAGCTGAAGCTACAAGTGAAGCTAAAGCTACAAGCGAAGCTGAAGCTACAAACAAAGCTTAAGCTGCAAGATCAATTAAAATTACATTTTGTTTGTAATGGAAGCTACAAGAAGAATTTTTTAATTTTGATATCATATTTCAAATATCATACACATAGTAATAAAACAAGCTTAGACATTTGATACAATACTGAAACTATTGAAGGTTAGCCATCTAAATCCAACCTGCTTACAGTAGCAACGACCAAATATAAGTAACTCTCAAGAGATTCATATGATTGTCTATATAAAACGGAAAGCATCATCAAATTTTTCATATAGTTTGGTATTAAAATTCCAGAGCCCTAAATTATTTCTAATATGTGAATTTATATGTGACGCGTGATACGATATTCAGTTTTCCAATCACTGTTTTCGTAAAGAAGATTATTCAATATTGGAAAAATTTCTTATACCATTTGAAAAAGCGGATACTTGTTTTTTAATTGACTGGGTAAAAGAAGATTCCATTATTCCCAAGGAGCAACTCAGCAACATTTGTCCAGAGCACGCAATCAAAACAATTCAGAATATAGAGCATGTCCAGAGTATGTACTTTATGTAAAACACATCGTATATTTCTCTTAATATATTAAGTCACAATAAACTTTTGCATATTTTTAATTACTCCAATATATAAAACAATTATTTTTACTATAAGAATTCGGAGTGAGCGTTTATGTCAAAAAACAAGGGAGGGTTTGTGAATATGGTCTTAACAATTTTTTTAACAGTTCCAAAAATAGCCTAATACCTATTATAATCAATAATCCTTAATCAAAAATATATGTTTTGAACTGCTCCGTGGATAAAAGAGTCTTACGGGTTGAATGTAATATTGTTTGAGAACTGAAGCTACATAACATAATCTTTCTTTGAGTCTTGAAACATAATCTTTCCACGCTTTACTTCTCAGGTTTATATTTCTTTGTCCAATCCGCTAGTTGTAACTCATTCTTTTCAATTTTGAGCATCAATTTATTTCGTTCCATTTCTAAACGCTTCTTTAGTTTCTTTAAATCTTCTGTTTGCTATAAATAAAAATTTTTTTTAAATTATTTTTTTATTAATTTATTCTACGAATTTTTAAATTGGACTTCACCTTTCTTAGAAAATAAATATTTTCCTCAGCTTTACCTTTATCATCAAATGAGATAGCACTGCAAGTAGTTCAAAATTAGTAGATAAGAACTAATTTATAAATGTTATAAATTCTACCGTATATGACGCCACATTATAGCGGAAACAGATTTTAAAATTACCCGATGTAACTTTGGTCCCGTCAATAGATGCGACAAAGACATAATTTATCTTATAAGTAAAACCCCAAGATCGATAACTTGACTACCAACTAAAAAAGATAAATATTATATATAAATATATATATATTAAATAATATTAAATATATATATATAATGTTGAGGCTAGTTGAGTTGAGTCAGTGCACCTGAGCACTTTTACTCTCTATTAACTGCGAGGTTTCTACAAAACCCCTCTTTGCGCCTTGACTGGATTATTGTTTATCACTTCATTAGACTAAGCAACTAATTGACCTCAGATCTGCATATCTCCCCGAGGAGCCTGTAACCATTCTGAATTTGATAACGCGGTGTTAGTAAATCTGTCAGATTTCGCAAATAATTTCAGGGCTCTATACTTTATGTATTTTTTGATGGGATCAATCATATATATTAAATACAAATAATATAAATGTAGCAGTTATGTATTTTGCTATTAGATATTTCAAAAAATCCTCCCTTATCGATACTTGACATCACTAATTGTTTAGAATCCATTACCATTCAATGTTAATAAGAATAAAGAAAATATAAGTAGTGAGAAAAGACATTGAAGTTTTAATTAAATTGTTAAACACTGATGTTATCTTTACTATATTAGGTAGTATTAACAAATTCTGCAACTGCTTTCAGTACATTATTGTAAATTTTTAATTGACTGCATAAAGCAATAGCGTGCGCTGCGAAGATTAGTAGACTGTCAAAACGATATCACAGATTTTTGGTTTGATAGCTATGAGGTTCAGCATCCTCATGTTCACTCTCCTGGAAATCTTGCTCTACTACTTTTGAGATCATCATAAATTAATTGAATAGGCCAACAAAGAACAAAGCCATCACGGTACAGAAAGCATAGCAGTTCAAATACTATACACAGATCTTAGATCAATCACTGAATAATCATAAAGTTTATAGGCAATACATAAATTAGTCAATGAGATGGGTGGGACCCTGTAGTACCCCCAATTATCAAAAAGTAAAAGTGCCCAGTTGCGTTGACTCGAAAAAAAAAGGATCAACTATCCAATATCTTAATTTTTCTTAAATTTTTACTAAAGCATTTAAGATATAGAGAGACTGCTTTTAGTATAACAATAATCTTTACTGAGTACTTTGACTATGATTTGTTCTTATCAAATAATTAAAATATACAATCTTCAACAAGGAAATCTAAATTAAATTCATAATTTAACGATATTTTAAATGAAATAAGAAAATATGTTTCATTTTACCTTAAAGATATCTAATCTGTATTTGTTTGTGCACAAAGTAAGAGAGCGTTTGTTCTATGTCAGGCATCTCAACCAGTTGACATGATTATTTTACAATCCACTTGCAATTGACTTTGTTTTGATGTATTCCTAAAATTTACTATAATCTATTTGAAATCCTTGAGGTTCTTTAATTTTTACCTTTTAGAAAAATATATGTTGCAAACAATC